TAACACGGCAACCTAACTGCCGGTATGCAAAGGGATTACAAGAGTTCCAACCGGATATTCAGTAATTATGATATGTAATAACTCATAAATACACTGTCAGTGGGACAGGCAATAACATGCACAATAAAAATATCACACAATACTAAATGTGTGGTGTATATGAAGCTCACATTCACAGATGAGTGAAATGCCGTGATACCACACAGATAAATATACATACACCGTCGGGTGCCTTCACCTATAACCTGTGTCAGGTATGAGTAGGTGAGAACTGTGGTTCATCCCTCAGATCGACACAGACACAATAAAACAATTACAGATCTTGTACTTACAGATGGGGTACCTCTCTTATTCACTCACTCACTCAGGCACATTTATGCAAGCACTCGTAGGTAGCCTGATAGGTGGTGGTTTCCTCGTTCTGAAGTGAGACCATTGACGACAGGCTTTCTCACAAACCATACTTGACACGGGGGTACTCGCAGGAGGGCGTGTTGTATGTCAAAATGACACACGCACACACTTGGTGGCACTTGCGGTGAGTAAGGGTGGTGACGTCATGTAGTACAGTGAGGGGGGGGGGCGGCTGGCGGGCTACACGCTCGGGATAGAGTGGCGGCTGATTTTATTATACCATGCAGGTACACTTTGGTAAAAGTCACACACAGATTACTTAGGCGGCAGCACTGACTTAGTTCACTCTAGGTCACTCACAAACGATCTCCACTTGTCACCAGGGGTTACCTGATACCAGTCTGTTTCGCTCTGGTGGTTTGTCACTTGGCTTCTAAACAATATATTCACAGTTGCGATTCCGGGCGAGTGTTGGTATATCGAAAAGACGCTGAGTTTAACTTGACGGTGAGGAATGGACGGTGTTCAGTCTATTGGCCGATAAACAGAACACGTCCTCTGTGCAAGGGCTCCCTCACGTGAATGCTCTTGCCTGGGGCTCAGGGCATCTCGTGGGACTCACAAAAGGGATTACAATTTAACTAATAGCATTGCAGCAAATGAGCGGGAACCAATCATATTGATCGTTCCCTGATCAGTAGCAGAGGTGACGTCATGAACATGTCATGACCACATCACAGTTGTTATTCTCCATCGCGCCGGTTGAGGCTGACCCCAGAGGTCAGACTGTCCTGTCGCCTCGCTGGCGTCTCATCTGCTCTCTCACGCTTCATACCTCCTATGTGTACTCTCTGACCCTGTAGCAAGTATGCTTAACTTCCCTGTATCTACTTCCTGCCTGGACATACGGTGGCCTCCATATTATAAACGTGTTCCTGGTTAAGTGGGCAGTCTGGGGACACCCAACATGACAGATTACCATCCAGGGTTAACAGAGATAGGGCTTGTGCATGAGGATTGGTGCACTGTGCAGTGCAATGAACCATTCAAGTCAGCTGTGGGAGAATCTTGAGAGACCATACTCTCACAGTGAAGATTAGGTTCAGAGCAGTTTCGTTCCTAGTAGGCTCTGTTATCTGCTGTTTGATTGAGAATTTGTTACAGAATCTAAGTAGTTCTCTGACCTGTGGCTGGTTATATCCAGATATATTTCCTGGTATAATATTATTGTTTGCTATTCTCCATCTTAGACTAGGCAGGTTGAAGTCTCCATTGAAAATAATACTTTGTAATAGGTTTGACAGATTATGGAGGCTATTTTCTATTTTGTTTATCTGTTCTGTCCTTAGCCGTTGCAGTATATTTTCTCTATTTTTACTCCCAGTACCTCTACCACCTCATTTGTAGAGTTAAGGAGCCCCGAGGATACAAGGTCTTCCCTAATATACAGACCCACTCCTCCATGGGACCTCTTTACTCTATCATACCTGTATAGGTTATATCCTGGTATCCAGATCTCACAGTCCAAAGTTCCCCAGTATGGATTTCTGTGAAAGCTCCAAATACTTTGAGGAGGCGATTTATGAACAGTAATTTATTTTTCGGCATTGTTTTAGTCCCTGTATGTCGGCATATTGGGTTTGTTCTGACCTGTTCTGGTTGTTGCCTGTTATAGATGTCAGTATTGAGGAGTGTAGTGGCACCTGTGATGCTGGTGTGCGTGGGGTACTGATGGTTGCAGACCTGGTGAATACAGTAAACAGTGTTTGAAGTCAGGCAATGGGATCAAGCTCATTATACTAGGTTCAAACTCTGTTATGATCAACTAGTGATAAATTCTGACGGAAATCAATTCTGCAGCCTCTTAGAGACAACTTATCTCCAACACAATCACTGACTCTGGAGTTCCCTTTGACTTGATGCTGGAGATCCTTCAAGGTGTTCGTCATATTCCATCTAACTCACTACTCTGGAGGTTATCTTGAGATCTTGAGGTTATCTTGAGATGATTTCGGGGCTTTAGTGTCCCCGCGGCCCGGTCCTCGACCAGGCCTCCACCCCCAGGAAGCAGCCCGTGACAGCTGACTAACTCCCAGGTACCTATTTACTGCTAGGTAACAGGGGCATTCAGGGTGAAAGAAACTTTGCCCATTTGTTTCTGCCTCGTGCGGGAATCGAACCCGCGCCACAGAATTACGAGTCCTGCGCGCTATCCACCAGGCTACGAGGCCCCTATTTATCGAGATTATCGATAGGTTATCGAGAACATTGAGCTGCTGAACCTGGAATATACCTGGAGTAGGTTTTGAGCATTCTTCTGTTTCCAAAGGCCGCCCAGGGGCCATGCTTGACTTGTGATTGCTTAATCTGGTAAATTGTTGCTGGCAGTGGCCGCCACGCCCGTATATCAATTTCAACGCGGTTGGTTCGGCACTTCCTGCGGAGACTTGTCTAGTTGTTTTTTGAACATGTCCACTTTTGTTCCTGTAATATTTCGTACTAGATTGGGAAAGTGGCTGTGCCCAGGCTCTCCACCTCTCTCTCTTCTCTTATTCCCCCCCTCTCCCCACTTTCCACTTCCTCTCAACCTTTCTCCCCCGTTTCCTACATCCCCCCCCCCCCCCAGTCTCTCTCTCTTTGAAAAGTTAAAATTATGAAGCACTATTTTTATTAACACATTTAGGGACATCTGCATCTACCTTAGACTATATGAAGAGGAGTATAGTGTTATGAAGCACTAAAAAAAAACTCCTAAACAACTCTATGGAAAACTCAACCTCTATTTCAGTCATGACTTCATGAAAGTCAGAGGTGGGGTTGCTATATATGACAATATTTCTTAAAGTTTATCTCTGTATTTCTATCTTTATCTCAACCTCCTCTGAAAAGTTGAGTGAAACCCTGTGTCTGGCCTCAAACCTCCGACAAACGTTTATTTTCTTTTATAGATATAGATGTTTCACAGAAAATCACTCGGGAAAATAATGCGATTGCCACTAAGTAAGATTTTATAGTTCAAGGCTTGTCATCGCATCGACCACCTGCCTTGCCTTGCATGTGTCACTTGTAAGGCGCTACAGCAAATTTGTTTTATTTTTTTACTAGTTCAAGTTTGCACACAAATTACACACATCTACGTAAAAAATCAATTGTTTTAGCCAACTAGAAATGTGCGAACCCAAGTGCCCCACCTAACCTATCAGGGCTGTTGCATAGACAACTTTAATAATTTTTACTAATTCATCACATTTTTATTTCTAAATTTCATAAAAATACAGCGTGTCAGGTCGGGGAATGTGTTGCTCTGGCAGTTGCTATAACCCCTTGCAAACTTCTTTATCTGCCCTGATGTGCGCTTTCTCATGATCTTCCAAATCTTCCCTGGAGATCCGTTTTTAACGGGCCATCTCCCATCTGATGTTGTTTCCTGCTAGACCACAGAAGCCTTCACCAAAACGCTGAAGTCAAAAGTCTCTTCTGGACCTGAGAGGTGTAGCTGCAACTTCAGGTACCCTAGTAACTAACACTTGCTTGGTTTACTGTTAGCGCCTCTCAACCTCTGGAAGGTTATTTAGGTGATAACAACAGCTTACTGACCAACCAACAAGTCAACTTTTAGTCCTGAACATAGTCCAGGACTAAAGTAAACTCAGTGTACGTACACCGAGAAGTGGGTTACACCTCTCGGTGTATACATCGCTGACACACTGGTAGTGGCTTGTATAGTACCGTAGTGGTGGCGTCATCACTCTGTCATTGTCTTGATTGGCTCATGGCCTCCACACTTACTTCACGCCCATACTCACATCTGCCGTCTCCGTGACTCTCTATGTCACTCGGTGTCCATAATCTTTTAGCCTAAAATGATAGACGGAAAGGGGAACTATCAGGAGAAAGTGCCAAGCCATTAGACTATATATCACTTGGAAGGGATCAGGATAAAGATTTGGGATGGAACGGGGGTGGGAAAGGGAAAGGGATGATGCCCAACCACTTGGACGGTTCGGGATTGGACGTTGACTTGCATGAAGCAAGTACGTCGCTCTACGGTCCAGCCCAAGTGGTGGTGTTGAAGTGTTTGCATCACTAGGTGACATTTTGAGTGTTGGTTGTAGCCAAATTGTTTCAGATTTGATTACTATTGTACTGTCGTCCCTCTTCACGCTTTTTGTTGGGTTGAAGTGATCACGCCACCGGTATAATGATAGTTTAACCTGTCCTCTTGAGTTGCCACAACAAACAACTGCTTCCTATAACGTGGGAACCCAAATCACTGACCTAACCTAACTGACCCACCCATAGAAAACGGTTGTTTGTGAGCCGCTACTTTCCATACTTCCCTGTATATTGTCCGTTGGGGATTACAGCATCAGAAGACAATGTGTTATTTGAGACTACGGATTGGGTAGTTGGTGCACCTCAAAATCACAGGGATAGCTCAAAGTAGCAAATTTTATCATTACGGGAGAAATAGGAAGAGAGTAAGCTTGTCCCATCACTTTGGGCAGTTTAGCCCAGTTACAAATATATTTGTCGTTGACCTATTGATATCGTATGCTTATTGATATAATATTGTTCTTATTTGTTGATTATATTCCACTAATAATGCTCTTGAATACCCTAATGTTTCGTGTTTTGTTTTCCAGGGAATATTAATCTAATTACTAGTGATAATTGTGTAGTGATGGTGAAGATGTTGTGAGTGGGTGTTAGTTATGGTGAGGTAGTGGTGGTTGCGCGCCTCGTGGCCAGAGTGCCGCCCCCTCCCACCACCACCATACTACTGCCACCATGGTGCCTGCCGACGCCGGTGACGACGATGGCCTCTACCAGCCGCCGCGCCCACCACTGCCAGCCCCAACACCCTATACTCACCCTCGACCTGTTCTCCCTGCAGCGCCGCCCAGGCCCACGCTCTCGCCTGCCCCCTCCCTCACCCGCCTCACCCACCAGCAGCAGCAACAGCAGCAGCAACAACAACAGCAGCAGCAGCAGCAGCAGCAGCAGCAGCACAACAGCAGCAACAGCAGCAGCAGCAGCAGCAGCAGCAGCAGCAACAGCAACAGCAGCACCATCAGCAGCACCACCACCAGCAGCAGCAGCAGACACAGGTTACGAGCAGTGGGCAGTCAGTGTCACAGGGCTCGGTCACCTCTGTGTTGTCATGTGCCCCTCAGCCCCTGCCGGGCCTCGCCCAGGGCCCCATGCCTCACTTCCTGACCGCCACCCCTCTGGTAGGCCTGGCCCCCCGCCCTGCCGCACCGCAGCCCCCACCCTACCGCTACCCACCTTTTCAACCTGTCCCCATGTACCGGCCGCCTCCCAACCCTCGGGTGGGTGCTGCCGGGCTCCCGCCCTCCATCTTTGGCCCTGACGATCTCCCTCCCCCTTCCTTCCTGTCCTCCCTAGCAGCCCGCTCGCCCCTGGGGGGCACAGGCAGCCTCTCCTGCCCCACCAGCCTCAGTCAGCAGGCGGTGGGGGAGCCAGTGCCCACAGTGGTGAGCTCCTCAGGATACTTGGCTGGAAGTGTGCCGGGGCCTGGGTGCTGGTCGCTGCCCCGGGACCCTCACAGCACCGCCCCGGACATGGCGGTGACCGTGAGCCACGAGCGGGGTGCATCTGCCCCAGCAGCGATGGTAGGTGGGGTAGGCGAGGAACTCAAGACCCGCTCACTGCCCACGCGGTGCCTCCATGGGGCCCGACCTCCCCTGGTGGCCCGGCGGAACCTGGTGCTGTCTGAGGGTGAGGGAGGCGGGCCGGGCTCCTCCTCCCTCCTGTGCGAGGAGGACGGCTTCTACTTCAACCAGCCCCTGTTGGAGGAGTGTGATGAGGACCTCTATGGCTCCTCCGAGGAGCTCTCCTCCGGCTCCTCCATCCTGGAGAAGCTCATGGTCTGGGCCTACTACAACGCCGAGGGCCAGCCAGAGGACCCCCAAGGTATGCCCTCTCTCTCATGGGCCCTCCAAGTGCCCAGCATGACCTGGAACCCTGGACGTGCTAACCATTACCTTGTGCCATTGATGCCATGCATGACCTGGTGGCACGCATGACCTGGCGTGCTTGTGTGTGTGCTCACCTGGATGAACTAGCAGAGTTGAGCTTCAGCTCCTAAGTCTTGTCTCTCTAGTTACCAACTAGTTAATGCAATGTCTCTCTTCCTGCACGTAACTTGTGTGTATAAAAAGTTACATTTATTCCCTCTTGAACTAAAACAAAGGATTGATGTCTTTGAATTATTTGTTTCCATTTTACATTGATATGTGTTGTTCAATCAATTTCCAATTTTAACATTCAACAGTTAACATTTTAACATTTAGTGCTTCCATGTGTGTCTCCTGTGGAAAATATCCTCTATTATATATACAAATATTCAACATATGGTCTTTGTGACTCATAGCTGTCCAAAACTTTTTTTACTGGATTTGCAGGTGTTTGTAACTCTGAATATTAAGCTCATGTTGCCATAACAAAAGCTACCTTTTATCACATAATTTGCATTAAACATATTAATCTCATGTGTTAACTATCATAATACGTCAAGAACAGTGTTCTGGAGAAAGGAGGTAATAGATATCTGAACTATAAACGATGTTAAACACCACGTTGTTTCAACTTTGATTCAGAATGTAATCCTAAGAGAGAAGCCAGGCTAAATTACTAAATTAATTCAGATTATCAAGAAGTGTATGAAAACAAATGCGTCTTCTGTATTATTATTAACCATCAAAGAAATATTCAAACGGAACCCAATTATTAGAGTACCAGACCTCGCTTAATTTGTAAAGATTTGAATACTTAATTATGCAGTAAATGCTCTACGCTACAGAGAGCACAGCTACCCACCCGCAGGCAACACTTGGCGTCAACCAAGTGTTGCCAACCCTTATGAAAAATACACTTGCTATGGCTTGAATTTACCTAAAAAAATTTTCCCCTATCACTGTCTTCTCCACTGGACGAGGCGTCTCATTTGTTGAGTGTCAAAGACAACAACAAAATATCTCTGGTAGATGGACTCCAACAACATCATAAGTCTACCGAGTGTTACATCCACCTGCTGAAAAACTCTGGCACTCGGAGTCACTTTCTATCTGTTACATTTACAGATAAGTTGAACCTTGTTAAAGTCAGTAGGTTAATACAGACAAGCTGGTCGTTCTTGGCGACCTCATCGTGAGAGGTGGCACTGGCCATGTGGCGTGTGAGGGAGTCATCAGTGGAAATGGCATCGAGTAACAGTAACAACACTCTACATCTGCTCTTGAGGCCATGTGCAGTAAATGATCTGATCAGAAACACTGCTCTGTCTACCTTAATGTAACAGAACACCCTGGATGCACCCACACTCAAAGCACTGGCACCTATTTGACTATATAATAGTCTGTAGGAAAGTAAGTAAGTAAGTAATTATCAAAAGAAGGCACCAAACCGGGAAGGCTATGTAGCACCATCAAATACGCAAAATAATCAGAGGGCGCTAAATATCACCAAGGATGCCAATACGAGAACAAAAACGCATAAGGCGAACGATATCAAAAGTATCCGAGTCACCAAGAATTCTATCGAGGGACAGGTGACCGCGAGGGGCGGTCGGAAAGCAAGACACACGCTTGTCCTGGAAGTCAGGACATTCAAGAAGGACATGCACGACCATAAGAGGGACAATGCAACTAGGACAATAAGGAGCAGGGCGGCGCTCCATCAAGTGACCATGGGTTAAGCGAGTATGGCCAATACGCAACCTCGCCAGAGCTGTTTCCCACCGCCGGTTACGGTGGAAGGAGGACGGCCACGAGGAAACACAACATTTAAGAGTACGTAGCTTGTTACCAGTAACAGACAACCAAGAAGCCTGCCAACGGGTAAGGACTGAGGAATGGATAACCGGGTAAAAGTCGGAATACGGAATGCCTTTACGAGAGATGGGACAAGAGCGGACAGCTTCCTTAGCGGCAGCATCCGCACGCTCATTTAAAGACACGCCAATATGGCTGGGAACCCAACAAAACTCAACCGACTTAAATTTACTGTGAACGAGAAACAGCCAATGCTGGATCTCGACAACTACTGGATGAACCGGATTAAAGCACCCGAGAGCCATGAGGGCACTACGAGAGTCAACAACAACCACAAAGGAAGACTGACAACGAGAAAGCAGGAGACGAAGAGCATAGAGAATAGCATAAAGTTCCGAGTCTGTAGGAAAGACAGACAGGATATCTGTGGCACAGATGGCTGGACAGAACACAGACTGCTTATTTCAAATATGAGCCTCAGGATCCAACCCCCTGACGTCCATACGGTATCAAAGTAACCAAGCGCCTAAATATCCTCAGATTGAGAGGCAATGTGCCTCTCAACGAGGATATGATTTGAGCCAGAGGAGTATTCTGGTTGCCTGTGTCTGAGCCTGAGGAGTTCAGGTGTACAGGTTCCTGAGCCTACTGGACTCTATCATATCTACATTGTAAACTGTGTATGGAGTCAGCCTCCACCACATCACTGCCTAATGTATTCCACCTCTTAACTACTCTGACACTGATACTGGCCGTGGTTTTTGCTTTTGATTTAGCACATGTGAAGTAATATTTTGGGGTTTTCTTTATTTTTTTGAATTTCTTTCTGTTCTAGTTGCCTTTCTTCAGTCTGATATGAATGCTTCAGTCTCTGTTCATTTCTTCAATCTCCCTGTTTAAATTATTCCTTTTTTGTATGGAAAGTCGTGTCTGCTTAAGCATTTCCGTTAACTTTTTTCTTCTTTTGTAGTGTCGTCTGCGTTCTCTTTCGACAGACTTCATATGCTTCAGAAGTCAGTTCTTCTATTCCTTGTGTAGGATTTTTATTACTTAGAACATTTTCCCATTGAATGTTTGTAAGTTCCCTGTTTATTTTCTCCCAGTCTATCCTTTTATTATTAAAATTTAATTTATTAAATAACCCTTCTCGCTTGTTGTTTCTCTTGGGCCTACTACCGTTATTAATGTTAGTTTGCACTTCAATTAGCTTGTGGTCCGAGTACGTAGTGTCTGAGAGTGTAATGCCTCTGATTAGCTCCTCATTGTTCGTGAATATCAGGTCCAGCGTGTTTTCGTTCCTAGTTGGTTCTGTAATCTGCTGACTGAGTGAGAATTTGTCACAGAATCTCAGTAGCTCTCTGACCTGTGGTTGGTTATTTCCAGGTTGATTTCCTGCTATAATGTTATTGTTTACTATTCTCCATTGTAAACTGGGTAGATTGAAGTCTCCAAGGAAGATAATATCTGGTACTGGGTTTGATAGGTTATCAAGGATATTCTCTATTTTGTGGATCTGTTCAGTGAATTCCTCAACTGTTGTATCTGGCGGTTTGTATATTAGAATAATAATTAGATTTATATTTTCTACCTTGATTCCAAGTACCTCTACCACCTCATTGGTCGAGTTCAGGAGCTCTGTGCATGCCAGCTCCTCTTTAATATACAGACCTACTCCTCCACTTGACCTAATTACTCTGTCACATCTATATACATCATAATTTGGGATCCAGATTTCACTATCCATGTGGTCTTTTGTGTGGGTTTCTGTAAATGCACCAAATATCGAGTTCGATTCTATTAGGAGGCCATTTATGAACTTAACTTTATTTCTTGATTTTGATTTTAGGCCTTGTATGTTTGTAAATATGAATGACTTGCCATATTGCGTGTCACTTCTGTTGGGCTTTGGTAGTTCTCCCCCCCCCCTCTCCACCCAGGTCCAGGGTGTGTTGTTTTGGTAATGGTTCGTCCAGTTTTGGTAGTAGTGCAGTTGTTGTGTGGTGTAGTACCTGTGTACTTGTTGATAATTTGTATTCCAGTCTTGTGGGTATCTCCCTCCCCCTCAGTAATCCTGTAGTGGTTCTATCTGACTGTTTCTCTCTCTTTTATGTTCTATTCTGTTTCTGCCTTCCTCTAAAAAATTTCCAGTAGTGTCATATTGATCTTCCCGTCTATAACGCTGTGTACCTCTCATGTGGAATTCCTGACACTGAAGATTGTAACAGTTTTCTGTCCCCAATTGAGAATTTACACAATTTAGGGTGGAAGTATCTACATTCCAAAACGGCATGTACCCCTCGCCAACATGTTCCTGCATTTTCGAGGATGCAGAAAAGTGCATTTTGCACCTAATTTCCCATATTTGCATATTCCTTGTGCATAGAATTTGCAAATATTTGCAGTTTTAACATTTTTTCAGGATATTTATACTTGTGTCTGTCTTGACCGCCTATTTATTGGAGCCATCTCCGTTTTTCGTGCCAATTCCTTCATTTATGCACTCTGTCTCACTGTTGCTCTCATTGTTTATATTACCTGGCTCTGTAATATTGCTGTTGTTGTGTACCACAATACCCTCTTCCTCCACACTACTGCTGCGGTTCTCTAAACTACCTGCTCCTGAGTCTTGGTCGTTATCCAGTGTTGGCTTTTCACGGACCACATATATCGCTGGTAGCTTGTCTGTGAATGATGATCTCTGTGTAACGGGTATGGCATTCATCAGTTGCGTTATGTTTTCCCATATTAACCTGTCATTTTTGCACACCCAGTATAATCCTTGGCTGTTTGTGCATGCTGTAGATAATTCTGCACAGCCCAGGTGGAATGTTGCATTATAGACGCAACACTTGACGCCTATAATACGTCTTCCAAATGCTACTAAACACTTGCCCCACACCTCCATTGTCTGATGTATTGTATTTGTGCTTCACTGTATGAATCCCTTGTTACTTAAGTAATTTTACTATTTATAGTATTATATTAAATATTTATATATTATATGTATACTGTATATTTGTGATATTATGTTTGTTCATTTGTTCAAACTTTATGGTCAGGTACTTAGAGTATGGTAGAAAGGATAGTCCAAGTGTGGTGTCCAGTTGACCATTGTCGTCCCTGGATGGATGCCACCAGTTTCCAGTTACTTGTTTTATAACACTGATTTATTATTTGCTTGTATTATTACAAGGCATTTTCTGCCTAATTTCCGGCTTACATTGGTATGCACTCACTCTATTACTTATTCCTCGATCCACATTTCCATATTACGCTATATATTGTCGGTATATTATCAGTGAGGGACTTGCCATACCCTGGGGTAGGCCTCGTGGCTGGTGTAAACACAGCCGTGCGTGATGCCGTCTCTTGCCACTATTCTATATTTCTAATGTTCTATATTTCTAATATTTTATGCACGATTCTCTTACACTTCCAGCTTATATGTGTGTTGTGTTACCTATTCCACTTCACTGTTCCACGTATCACTGTTCACTATATTTCATATACCGACTAAACGCATGTACACAGAGCCTCGTGGCACTGGCTCCCCACGTGGTCCCTCTTTTATTCTCTATTTAACACAAAGTTCCATTGTTAATGACTATTCAACTTTCCAAAGGGTCACTATGCACTTTGTGATGTCTGTAAACAGTAATCCATGGCTGTAATCCTAAGAAATCCCGGTAAAATTCTAAGATTTTAATGGAGCGCGCACAACACCTCTTTTCCCTCCAAGTACTTGCAGAGAGAATCTATCCAGAATCTCAGTGTGGATTCAGAGCTAACAGGTCCACCATCGACATGGTCTTTT